AAGTTGGAAAGCAGACATTCTAGGGCTTGTCGATATAGCTGCAAACGAACTCCGCTTTCATCTATGGAACCTCTAAAAGATGGAACTTTGTCTGCCGTACCACCCCAGGGATTTCTGATCACCTTAAACTCTTGGAATATTGTGTCAAGGAAGACTTTACTACAGCCATTATGGGCAAAAGTTTTGTGCCTGATCAGATCAGAAAAATAGCTTCACTTCCCGCAAGAATGGGTGGGCTGAGCATTCCAGACTGTACATCAACAGCAGAGATGGAGTACTCTAACTCAGTAAATGCCACGAAACAGCTCACAGAAGCAGTTTTTCAACAATATACTACTTTCCAACCAAACGAGGAACTGCAACATGACATCATAAGTGAGATAAAGAAGCATAAGGAAGAGCTTTACAAACAGCAACGTGAAACTATTATGAGTGAGGTATCCCCATCCACACAAATAGAACTCTCAGCGCAAAAGGAGCATCCATTTGGTTATCCACACTCCCTCTAAAAGCATGTGGGTATGTCCTCAACAAACAAGAATTCTTTGATGCCCTCTCACTCAGATATAATCTTACACTGTCTACAGTCTACTGTTATTTAAGCAATAAGGAGACACATAATGAATATCTTTGGTTTCATCCTTTTGTGGCGAAGAAACGTTTTATAAATCTTTATTCCACTGGGAAGTTTTAATTAATTATTTATATATAATGCATTAGATTTTATTAATTAATAAAATTGAATTTAATAAATTATTAATGTTGCTGGAAGAATATGTCTATTTGAATTATTTTTCTATTTAGTGCAATGATATTTTTAGACACTTGTGATGATGTAATGTCATAATCTTTACTTACTTACTTACTTACTTAGCTCACAGAAGTCCCCTATGTGTATGTGGAAAACAAAACCATATCAACCATACTCTAACCTGCAAAATCGGAGGCTACGTTTCACTTAGACACAATTCACTCAGAGATACAATAGCTGAACTCCTAACCACTGTTTGCAAAGACGTTGAAACAAAACCTCAGCTTCTCTCCGTTCCTCACACACTTAAACTATCATGGAACAAATAGACAAGATGGTGCAAGACTGGACATCGAGATCGCTCTGGTCGCCGCTGGACAGGGCATTCACAGATGTAAGGGTACTTCACCCTCAAGCCTAGTCCAACAGTGACAAGAGAATCTCGCAGATGTACCAATCTCACGAGAAAAACAAAAAACGTGAATACAATGACAGAGTTAAAACTTTTGTTTTATTAACTGGTGTTCAGTACTACAGGAGGAATGGCAGTTGAAGATTAGAAAATAAGAAAAGAATATTCAAACAATATACACATAATATAGCAATGGCCAATTGGCTGACTATAAGGTCATGGCCTGAACAAACAATTTCTTTTTTTTAATAGTCAAGTGATGCTAAAGCAGAGCACAAATGTGTAATAAGTTAATAGATTAAAAAACTGATTCATGTGATGCATTCGCAGAGCACAGATAAAAATACTGATTCAATGATTAAAATTATAGCTGTGAGTGTCAATAAATTACTGTGTCGTAAAAAAAGGAACAATGTACACGTGATCTGAAATACCAATATCTCAATATCAAAAGGATAGTGTCTAGAAGCATTCATAGTCCATGGTGGCAGGTATCAAGTTAAACGAAGTTACACTGATTGGCAATGTATACGATTGCCGTCTCCCTCTCTCACCCCTGACCGCTATCAGTGTGCTCCTGAGGATTGAGAATCTAATCCTGGTGCGCATGTAACACATAATAGCCGCATAGTCTTCTCCTCTCTTATGGGATAGTTTTTCAGCGAGTCTCTTGTGGTATCTTGTGGCTTGTGGACCCCATCCGCCATTTGTTGAGTATATAAGTGGAGTAAAGGTGCCTTTTTCCACCTGGATGATTCTGTTGTTGTACTTTTTCATTTTCCTCATTTCATGAGCTTTATAGATCTGTTCCATATCTTTTTTGTCATATGTGGGTGAGTTGGGGTGGGTAACACAGACATCAAAGAATGTTCGTTCAAATGTGCTCCAGAGACCTCGTGAGGATACATCAGGTGCAGCTCTATCAGCATTGGTACCAACAATTTCTTCATTATCAAGGGGTATCAATGCTGGCTCAGTCACTACATCTCTGCATACTTCACGCTGCAGCTCTGCATTTAGATCGCGGATGTTGTTGTGTCTCATAGAAACATAGCCACCTTTCTTGCATATAAGTGTGTGATTCACATTATTTCTCTCTCCACAAGCACAGTGAAATGGGGTGTTAGGGATCTCCCAACCATAACGCAAGTACAGAGCATCACGGAACTCAATCTTGTTCAGGGAGTAGCCAAATCTCTTCAATGGAAGTGCAGTAAGCCAACATCCTGAACCTTTCTCTTTGATGAACTGGAAAGATCTCTTTAGGTTGGGATCTCTTACACTGTCCTCTATTGATTTGCTAACCGTAAATAAGTGTTTCTCCTTGATTGCCTTGAGACTTTTTATAGCATCATTTTGAATTGACATGTTGTAATGTTCAAGGGTGTTTTGCTGGTTGATAATCAGGTCTGTGAGGTCTTTTGTGATGGTGACTGAGGCTGTGAATTCTCTATTGCAGTTTTCAACTGGGTTGGAGATACCTAGGCCACCATGTCTGACTGGCAATGCAAATATGGAGCGGTCCAAGTCTGATACGTTCTTACCCAAGATTGCTGGAATAAAATCTGTTCTGATGCAATCCTCCAATGGTTGAAACAAGTGACTTATACCCGGGATGGTCCTCTGAATGAACGTCCACCGGTGACAAATTCCCTTAGTATATGCAGTCAAAGCAGCTTGGGGCTCCTCAACAGCAATTGATGACAACAGCTTGATGTCCTGACACCATTTATGGACTTTATCTGAGACATATTTGTTCTTAAAAGCTTCGCTGCCAATTGCTGCACCCAAATGGCGTTCTCCTTCGGACTCGATTTTAATACCAGTGCCTGAGAATACTTTCTGCGCAAGATCTAGGTCCTCGCTATTCTTCACAATCAGGACGGTCTTACTGGCTTTTGGGTAATATCCATACTTTGGTCCTTGCTCCAACAGCGTATCCCACCATATCTTAATACCTTCAATCTTTCCACCAGCACTACTGTCGTCTGCATACCAAGACTGTTTGCAAACACTGGGCTTGGAGGCTGTGGCTAGGTCATCTACTAGAGGCTTGATCCCTAACGCATAGAATGCCATTGCTGCTACATCTCCCTGAGTTGAACCTTCCTCAGACTTAAGTTGGTAGTGGTCCTCGGTAGTATTAATGATCAGGTCTGCTGGCTTTTGGTAGTGGTTCTTTAGATACTGATAGAGCGGAGGACAGATCTCATGAACATTGTGAAGGGCTGCTTCTCTATTAAGACGATTGAACGCATTATCAGCGTCAACCTGTAGTATTGCTTCAGTGTCACTGTCTTCCCAGATCTGTCTCATTGCATGAATGGAAGCCTCTATTCCTGATTTGAGCCCTGCACAGGTCTGCAGTGGGCCAGCAGCATATTGTATATCAGTTTTGAAAGACATTATAACTGCTTTTCCAATGATTCTGCGCAATATCTCGCCGATTCCAATTGGTCTTACACCAGGTTTCCCGTTCTTATCCTGGCCTTTATCAAGAGGGATTAATCTGCATGCAGTGAACTCTTTCAGACAGCTATGATGGATATCTTCTCTACAAAGGCGCCTTGCAACAATTGCTATAGACTCAGCAAGTGTCACTGATGCTTTGCCAAATGATTTGCTGCAGATGATATGCTTCCACAAATCTTAGTCCGTTAGTGTTGGGCCGCCTGATCCATCCAAATATAAACAAGCCCTCTTGCGTCAATCCTCTCAAATATCACTTCCTGAGGTGGAGGAGTACTGTGAGGGTGCAGAACAACTGGATCTGCTTTAACAGCTGGAGGGTGTTTCTCCCCAAGGACCTGTTTAATGTTTGCTGTTAGGCTGTGAACTCCTAAGGTGTCATTGGAACTGTCAACATATTTGGTGGCTTGTTTAACTTTCCCAAGAAGCATTAGTCGGCAGAAACTCTTCTTCCTGGATTCCTCGCTGATTTTTTGTTGCTGCACCAAGGCTTTCTGAATACTCCTGCACTCCATCATTAGATCGTCAAGTTCTCCATTTTTCCATTTAACCAAACGCTTGGTGAGATATGTTACATGGTCTCTTGCTTTTGACTTGCTTGACGGTTTTTGCAACATGATTGGCAAGAAGATATGAACCAGTGCGAACGATAGCCTTTCCCACTTGGTAGCATCTGCAAATAAGAGGATGAGCCGAGTCAGTTCTTTTATAAAGTCGCTACCTGATTTACCTCTGGGAACTAGGAAAATATTCTTTCTCCATGTCACCATCTCTTGATAAACAGCTTGGACTTTCTCAGCTATCAACTCTTCACCAACCATTGAGCCCCAATTAATTTTGTTTGCTTTCACTGCTTGACAAGTATCACAAAACCATATCTCTTCATTATCCATCTCAGCGTACTCGGTTTCACTGATAAACAAACAAGGTGCATGGAACCATTCTTCACAGCCATCACAACCCAATGCCTTATCCGAATCCCCCACAACACTCCTACACACGGGACAGTTATAACAGATATCATTTTCCTCGTCAGGAGCATCAACGATCTGCTGGTTCTCTACATTATCCCTACATTTCTGACAAACCCACCGTTCACTGTCCACTGGTGCAGACTTGCCAAGACATTTAGGATGGAAAAATGTCTTACAGGAATCACATTGAATGCTACAAGGTTCTGATATAAGATCTTTGGGACAGATTCCACATAACAGAGAAACAACAGGTGTAACATAAGCAATACCTTCAGAAGACAGGTGTTGAGATATCTCCGGATCACAGGTGTCTGGTAGCTGTACACTCTCTGTTTCTGCTGTCTTGTCTTCACCGCTGTTTGTTATCATCGTAGCGGACTTTCCATTGTCATACCTCAATAAATGTAATAGATTTGTAGTGTTGTAATTAGTTTGAAATGGCAGTTGATGGCTTCTCAGTTCCTAAAACATCTCGCTGAAAAGATCAGCCTTAAGAAAGGCCAACGGTATTGTGATGTGATGTCATTTGTCAGACGCAGACTGCGCTTTGATCTACTCAGAACCTGTATAATCTCTATCAGGGGATACAGAGGTACCAGAACTCTTCCACCCACGGCGATAAGTGATTTGGACCTTAACCTGATCAACACTCCTAAACCCTAAAAGGTCATGAAGTGCTTAATGCTTGTTGGATGGGGGTCTAAACTGCTTTTTGTTGTGATGTGAATTTGTTATATATTATTGCAAAGGGTTTTATTTTTTACCTCAGTTTTTAAAATTTGTACCATTTTTAAAGAATTTTTATATAGGGTCATTGCTGTATTATGTGTATATTGTTTGAATAATTTCTTCTATTATAAAACCCAAATATACCCTAAAACCCCAACTTAACCTCAAATTTTCATTTTGGGAATGGGTTTTTAGGGCTTTTGGGGTTGGACACCCCAAAGAAAGTCAATTTTGTGCCTATGCTAGCATGGTAGCCCACTGGTCCATGGGTTGGTGAGGTGGTTAACAACAGCCATAGGATACATGCACATCTACGCCAGCCAGATGAGTGCTTCAAATCCAAATCAAAAAGCTGAATTAACTGTGATTTGCCAGTTTGTTGTGGGGGTCTTAAGGAAAAGGTTTTAGAAAAATCCTAAATCAAGGACACAGGTGGCAACACAGATAAACTCTTCAAAGGAATAACAAACATGTAAGACTTACAACATATTTCTAGTTTCTACTATTCAAACTCATTCAATGTTATGATAATTCTAACTACCTTAAAAGACATATGTATGTTCGACATAATTCCGGTGACCTAAATGATTTGGGAACGAAAATATGGGAATTGTTTTGCAAAAACTGACACATTTCGTACCCCAAATTAAATCATAGTATTTGGGAATTTTTTCATCTCCTTATTTTATAAAAATGTAACCCAATGTTTGTAAAAATTAAACACAAAGATCTTCCCTGATAAGCTGTTTCATCTTGTAAACAATTTGAATTTGAGCCTTTGAAGAAAACCAACAGTTAGTACAGGGAAATCCGTCTGAAAAAATCGATCTGCTGACACACGAAGCTTTCAGAGGATTTTTGACGTTTTTGAGTCCCATCAGGTGCCCTTTATGTCTGACCAACTTTTCCAAACTTTTCCACGTGGCTTAAGGCCACTTTTTGCCACTTTACCACTTTTTACCACCTTTCTTGTTTGTCGAATATCTTTAGTTGTGAACATCGTAAAAGGTTGCGAATCAATCGAGTGTGTTCATATTATCAGGAAGAAAAACTTTTGTTCAAACAATTTTTACGTCAGATAATAAGTTAATTGGATAATTATCAATTAACCAATTAGCAAAATTCTAAAAAATTTTTATTGGCTAAAAATGATCGGAATAGCTTAAAACACGGAGAAAAGTAGTTTTTAGAAAAAATTGTAAAATTTTTCACTTACATTTTTTTTTCGAGACTTCGAAAAATTTCGAAAATTCAAAATATTTTTTTCCGCCAAAAGTGATCAAATTGCATGAAACGCGGAGAAAAATGATTTTCAAAAAAACTTAGTCAATTTTTCGTTTCAAGAATACTTAAATCACCAATATTTTTAGTTGGAGTTCAGTAAATCTCGGCAGATTTTAGTAATAATCAGGAATTACTAACTCTAAGTGGAAAGGTCTGAAACTGAAAAACGTTAAGTTTAACCATACGATCGCGATATAAGAGTTTCATAACTAATTACAATACAGCCTTATCGATTTTCACAGAAACTGCACCAATGGCACAGTCAAGATCGAAACGATAGCATGCTGTACTGTCATTTTATTGATTTCAATGATGAATCAGTGGGGTTAAGATAATCACATTTGTAATAAATAAAACCTCTCTGTACTGTCAATTGTGCTAATCTGAACCGGCCTACCTGTATTACCAGACCTCTTCTTTTCCTCAACAATCAAACCGAGTTGTTCATATCGCATTTGGTGGGTGATGTAAACTAAGTAGTAATACATATCGAGCTATATTCAATCACAATACGACACAATGCAACACGTGTATATTATATTATTATTATATATGAAACGTTCTATACCGTACACTTCTCGTTTCTCCCGTGAGAGGCCTGATATGGAGAGGTTTTACAGTTTATCACGAAAACGTCCACTTGGTCTCATGGCTCTTTGACAGCTCAAAGAAGGCGAGAAAAGACCAGAAAGCTTAGAATGTCAACTCGCAAGAGCGGGCTACCGGACAACTGAACCCAATTTAGACATTTAGATTAACCCTAACTCTAACCCTAACCCTAACCCTAACCCTAACCCTAACCCTAACCCTAACCCTAACCCTAACCCTAACCCTAACCCTAACCCTAACCCTAACCCCAACCCTAACCCTAACCCTAACCCTAACCCTAACCAATTAAGCTGATTAGTTAGTGGGAACTAGATTCAATTGGGTTCAGTTGTCAGTCTTCGATCTGTCCCACATTAATCCCGGGCTGATCATCATGGGCCCCGAATATCCTGCGGGAAGAACCTGTATTTTTACTTCACGACGTCCGGATTTCAAATCAATATCCTCAATAAGTCACATTAACAATCCTTCCTGATCAGGATCTGTCTCTATTAGCAATTTCCAAAATATCCTGACTCTCGTGGAACATTTCACTGAATTAATTATTACCGGTTCTTTACTACCCCTTGCCCGACACTGTACTCGTATCTAAATCTTACCCTTTCCCGTATGTTACCCTTGTTGATTTTACTTTTAGCTGACCCTGACATATGGGGGTGATTTGAGGTATCCCGCAAATGAATTGCGGTATGCAGTACAATACAAAACAGTCACAGTAGATGTTGGAAGGTGTATTTACACTTGCTTCCTGGACCTGGCTGTTCCTCAGTTTCCCTGATCTGTTCTTGCCCTTCTTCGAACTGTAAATGAGCCATGAGACCAAGTAGACGTTTTCGTGATAAACTGTAAAACCTCTCTATACCGGGTTTCTCACAGTATAAAGCGTTTCATAAACCTCATTAAGAGCCATATAATATACACGTACTGTGTCGTATTGTGATTGAATATAGCTCGATATGTATTACTACTCAGTTTACATCACCCACCAAATGCGATATGAACAACTCGGTTTGATTGTTGAGGAAAAGAAGAGGTCTGGTAATACAGGTAGGCCGGTTTAGATTAGCACAATTGACGGTACAGAGAGGTTTTATTTATTACAAATGTGATTATCTTAACCCCACTGATTCATCATTGAAATCAATAAAATGACAGTACAGCATGCTATCGTTTCGATCTTGACTGTGCCATTGGTGCAGTTTCTGTGAAAATCGATAAGGCTGTATTGTAATTAGTTATGAAACTCTTATATCGCGATCGTATGGTTAAACTTAACGTTTTTCAGTTTCAGACCTTTCCACTTAGAGTTAGTAATTCCTGATTATTACTAAAATCTGCCGAGATTTACTGAACTCCAACTAAAAATATTGGTAAATATATTAAAGTTTTTTTGAAAATTTTTTTCTCCGCGTTTCATGCAATTTGATCACTTTTGGCGGAAAAAAATATTTTGAATTTTCGAAATTTTTCGAAGTCTCGAAAAAAAAATGTAAGTGAAAAATTTTACAATTTTTCTAAAAACTACTTTTCTCCGTGTTTTAAGCTATTCCGATCATTTTTAGCCAATAAAAATTTTTTAGAATTTTGCTAATTGGTTAATTGATAATTATCCAATTACCTTATTATCTGACGTAAAAATTGTTTGAACAAAAGTTTTTCTTCCTGATAATATGAACACACTCGATTGATTCGCAACATTTTACGATGTTCACAACTAAAGATATTCGACAAACAAGAAAGGTGGTAAAAAGTGGTAAAGTGGCAAAAAGTGGCCTTAAGCCACGTGGAAAAGTTTGGAAAAGTTGGTCAGCCATAAAGGGCACCTAATGGGACTCAAAAACGTCAAAAATCCTCTGAAAGCTTCGTGTGTCAGCAGATCGATTTTTTCAGACGGATTTCCCTGTACTAAGTGTCTGTAATCTTCCACTACTCCCAAAATTATACCGCCGTGGCCAATATAGTGGTGACAGAGCTTGCTTACTTTATTCATAATGGAACATTCTTAAAGCAATTCATGATCGGACACTAGTGTTCATTTGTATGATGAATCATATTTATAACTTACTATATCGATAGTAAATCAATTAAGTCATAATTAAGGAAAATAGGTGAAAATATGTTTTTTTGTACTATTTAAATATGTCTCGTAAGGTATGTGCATTACATAGTTCTGGAATAATATTTTACATAATTTAGTTATGCAATTAGAGTATCAAAAAATCAGGCTCATGCAAAAATATGGGCTTGGCCTGGGCATACTCTTAAGAATGATCTTAGTCATATTTTTCTGTTTTGGAATGATCTAAAGGATAGCTTTAATCCCCAAACAACTTGCAGTTCTCTTGTTGGGAAATTCTGAATCACCCTAATAAAGGATGGTGCCCTTAATAGGATGATTTGTGCTAATTGGTTAACATGTGGTTGAGTTTAACTCACACCTATACATGTATAGCTTGTAAATAGTGCTAATCACGTGCTAGTTGATGTCTCAAAGTCAGTGATGGTTACATAATTGGTTACAGGTACGCAGGTTTAGATGGATTTTTTGTCGGATATATAATTTTCGTTTAAGCTTTACTTAGTTCCATTCATGCATTTGGACAAAAAATAATATTTTTATTGCAATCCCATGCTAAGTCAAACAGAGACGATGAACTAATAAAATTGATCAATTGCTTATGATGTGAAAGAATGTTTTACAAGAACTGATAAGAAGTGATTATATTTTAAGATAAAAGCTACCCTAGGGCAGTCTTCACTTCTTTGACAAGGTTTAAAATAGATAAGAACTCGTGTTCAATGAAATTAAAACGATATCTGTTATAAAGTCCACTCCAACCTTAAAATTAATGACAAAAAAGTCTCATATCCTAAACCTATAAAGTTACTATGGTAAACATCCTGAGTAGAATTGACAGTAGTTCTTAGTTCATTGCCTCTGCTGGAATTCCTAGTGTTTCTTCCAGTTTCTTTCTTCCGTGTTTGGTGGGGGGATCCAAGAAGTTTCTGTACTTGACATTGGAGCTATAGCCATTCTTATATTCCGGATTTTCCTAGAAGAAACAATCACAATTAAGTTCTGTTATATACAGTATTTATTTCAAAAATCGAAATTATTAATTGTATTGTCAAAATCACACCAATATAAATAGGAAATCTTTTTTTTGATTATATTGCAAAGTCATCCCTTTTTTGTAATTACAGTATTTTAAATTTCAACATGTTTTATAGCTGACCCACCTGTTTTGACAGTGTCCAACCTATCATATGAGCAGTAGAGGTAGGGAGTGGGTGCTGGGTTTTTGGTGCCTCTGCAATTTCTTCAGTATCTCCTGGGCTTGAAGATGCCGAGCTTGCTTCTGAGTTCATTTCTCCCGTTTTTCTGTAAACAATACATGTACAGACTGTCGTGTTTTTTAAGTTCTGTTTTTCTATTTATATGGTAAAACCTCATATAAAATTGTACCCTTATTCACCATACCTCTACAATTTTAATTTCATATCACATGTTATTTCACAAAACAGCTTAGAACTTAACAGAACCCTGAGGTAGCTTATTGACGGTGATCAGGAAACTAACCTACAATGAAGAATGTTCCTCTGGAGAAGCTTTGATTCCTCTGATAAAAATCCGTATTTTTTGGGCCACTCTATAGTGCTCCACCACTCACGACCAATGTAATCTCTCCAAATTTGGTCCTAGGGTTTGTTTAATTTAGCGACTTGCAAGTTTAAAGATGAAGTTCGATCTTTAAATGTTACAAACCTGGCTGCTGTAATTGGTTTTTTAAGGTTCCTCGAAGTGTTCTTGCTGTTAATGTGGTGATTTACTGGGAATGAGGCAGCAATTCATCAGTTAGCTCACTGATGGGACAAATTTATATCCAAATGAAAGTAATAATCGAGAACACGGAACTCAGCTGCAGAAATCAGTCTTTAGAACACAGTACGTTATCTAAAAACGCACTAGATATTCAATATTTACCTGAAAAACTTGGTTACATCCAGCTTTGTCTCTTTTCATCATTTTCAATCTGTTGTCTTATCTATATTGGAAATATTTATGAAGTTAAACTTATAACATCATAACCATGACTAGGTATCAGTGACACAGGGCGCAAATATCAAGACATCTTAACTCAGTGGGCAACAATATTACTCACAATCGTGCTTTACACCAAAGTATTTCATATACAAGTATACGTTACGGTTGTCCGTTTTAAAGTCGCTTTAAACTAAGCATTCCTAAAGGTAGCACTGCAAATGTTGCATTATTGTGTTCTTAAAAATTAATACAAAAGAATTAAGGGAGTTTATATCGAACTAACTGAACGAAGCACAATCAAACAGAAATGGCGTAGCAAACTTAAGAGTGACCAGAGAAAGTCAACTGCATGAGAATATGAGAGTGGATGTGTAACGAACCCGATATATGAGTTAGGAAGAGCAATTACTGTGGGGTTGCCTGGAAACAAAAGTCATTGTGAGCCTCCGATAACCTTGACAACAGGGGTATTTTATTTCATTCCACCGGAAAATATCTTGTAATTGATTAAGTTAAATCTGACTGGTGCACATCACTACGAAGTGTCCCGACCATGTGCTGTGTAATTGCTCATCATGTTACGTGCATTATGCAAAGCCTATACATAGCATATAATAATTATGACATGTTAATATTTTGCAATTTTAATTTAATTTTCACTTAAGTAATACTTGTCTTATTGGTGATATTTTGGACGGTCATATTTTTAAGTTATTTGATATTACAAAGAGAGAGAGAGAGAGAGAGAGAGAGAAAGAGAAAGAGAGATGAAGTAGGAGGTGATAACAAATCAGCTGTTATCATCCACAGTGTTAGAAACAAATACTGTCCACTCAAATGCCCGTTTATTGTCGTTTATACTTGTATTCTTTCAGTATGTTTCGAAATGAACTTATTGAATCCTAATACCGTGTTATATTTGAAGAATCATTCGATCATTAATTAAACTTTCACAATTGATAAGGTAGTGTAATGGCAAACAGACGAGATCCTCAGACGGAACGAAAACTACGCCCGCTCTATGGTGAGTTATCTCAGCTATTAGACTAATTGTCTGCTTATTAGCTTTGTTTTCTATGATTTCCCAACTGATTTACTTTGTTTATTTGTAAACTTATTTGTTGGATGGATCAATTAGATTTAATTTTATGTTATGATTTCTGAGATTTTTCATCAGATAATTTAATTGTAATTTATAATTTAAATTTATTTTAACAGATGCGCTGGACAACCTCAACAACAAACAAGCTATCCAAAGAGCAGACAAGATCCTGAAAAAAGAGAAGGATTTCCACTGTGCCAAGGTGAACTAATATAACATAGCAAGGATCGTAGATTATAGAATGTTATTTGAATGAAATCAGGAATAAGATCTTATCTCACGTTCATATACCCCATGTTTAGAGAACAATTGTAGATCATAACCTTTCGCTATTTATCCAAATTGAAAGTCACAGATTAGTCAATGTTTAAAAAGGCCACAATCCCCAGAGCTGTAAGTCAATGTTTTATTAGGTCCTGAAAGCGCTGGCTATGGTGAGATTGATGAAATGTCAAGATGCCCTTGCCCTCTTAGAGGAGGTTAAGTCCCATTTCCCACTAGACGAGTCTACTTTACAAGCTATGAGTGTTTGTTACAAGGAACTCTTACAACGTTAGTGTTTTACACGAAAGTTAAAAAAATTAAAAAGCTAATAGTGTTTTAAGTAGTTATACTAATTAGGGAGAATCTTTTGAGCCGGTTAAGTTTTGACATATCAATATGATCAGATTTCAAAATGTTATGGCTCGTTATATACCACGCTTCTTTTATACCATGCTTCTTTTATACCATGCTTCTTAAATACCCCTAATCTGTTCCGTATAATAAGATTTCATATTTTGATAAAATAACTTTGCAGCTGAACTGATACCAGAGCTGTACGAGACAGCACTAAAATACACTCCAAACAGTGAGGACATGTTAACACAACTCTTTATGGGATACGTTAGAATCAAAGAGTACAAGAAACAGCAACAGGTACATAACGAGTTACATTTTATACTGTTTAGTTATGTACATAATTCATCTTTAATTTTCTAGTACACATTTTTAATTTTTCTAGAACACCACAATACAGGATGTAGTTTACTGATTGCCGTAATGATGCTATTTAGTTATTCTCCATTTTAGTATAAAATAAATTCGGAATGTCACACTGTCATCCCAGTCCCTCTCCTGGCAAGATTCCAAACCTGAGGGGTTCGGATTGACACATAATTCCCGCTAATTAACCACCTTTAAACCGCCTCCTCCCAGATAGCAACACGGTTACACAAGTTAACGTCCACCACTGCGTACAGCTACTGGAACGCTGTTAGTCTCGTATTCATGGGTAAGGACAACCCTGACCTGGGTAAAGTTATGTGCTTTCCTCTGGCGGTCAAGATTATTGAGAAGAGCAAGGAGAAGTCTGAAGAAGTGGCCGAGGAAGGTGAGACAAATTGAGCTTTAGTTTTTTTGATATAATTTCCACAGGAAATACAACTTCGGACGAAATTAAACAGTTAGCTAAGCATGGATTCTTCCTCGGTAAATATTAGAGAAACTGGATAAGAATTCCCGGTAAGATAGTATCTGATCGTGTGCTTTCAGTTTTCAGATTGTATTTGGAGGTATTAGAACTAATGGGGATGTATGAGAAAGCAGTTGAGGAACTGGGGGACCCCAAGAACGTTATCATTGATGATAGAGAGCGTCTCAGAATGAAGATACATTATCATAATCTGCTGGGAAATACCGACAAATGCAACATTCTTTACAAACAAGCTTTAATTGCTGAGTAAGTGAGTGTCCTCGTTATTTGTTTCCTATTTTACTTTTGTGCTGAATTTATCAACAATGAATTTCCAATCTTTATATCGTATATTATGTCTAATCATTACGTATATTTAACTGCAGGCCAGACAGCTACGATTTCTACAGAGGATATTTTGAAACGTCCTTCAAACTTTTAACAGACTCAACCTCTCTTCATGATCCAGAATTTCAAGTAAATCTAGAAAAGTAAGCATATCGTTTGCCGTTTTTAGTTAGTTAGGTAGTTAGTTAGTTAGTTAGTTAGTTAGTTAGTTAGTTAGTTAGTTAGTTAGTTAGTTAGTTAGTTAGTTGGTTAAGTTTCCATGAGTAGTTTCCAACGACGTCGTAAAAGTTCAAATATTTTCTCTGGGTTCGCTTTCTAATTTTCTGATCCCAGTCTCTGATCAACTATTGCATAATAGTTGATCAGACTTTACGTTACAAATTGACATTCTTATTACACAATAACTCCCCCTCAGAGCGGATACAAGTGTTCAGGACATGACAGGTCTACTCTTGAAAGTAGCCGAGGATGCAGGACCAGTGCGAGGTCCGGAGCTAGCTAAAGCGGAGCTGGTGGTCAGGCTCAAGGAGCAAAATATTGAAATGTGCGCGTTTGCGTCGCCTTCTCTGCTCGTGCTGGAGTACGTGCAGAAGTTCGGACACAAGCTCTGTTGTTATGATGATCTCAGAGTGATTATTGGTGAGAACTGTTTGTTTTAATTGGCCACGTTAGTCTCATTTGATACATGTGTGTCACATGTATGATGTATATAACATGCTTATCTAATAAGTAAATCATCTTTGTGATTACAACATTATTCTCATAGTTCTGGAACTTTCTCAGACCGACTAAAGGACGCGGAGAAACAAGAGTTGATACAGATACTAGAAGAGTACAGAGTATCAGTAAAGGAAAGTAACGGAACTAAAGCGATGCAGAGACTAGCCACTCTCCACATGTTACTCCATCACGTGGGCAAGTATAAAGCTCTGGAATCCGAGCAGCAGTTCATCGCGCTGGAGGAGATCAAGAACTTTCATAACATAACTTTAGAAGGTTTGTTTATATGTTATTGTTCACGATTAAAGAGGTTTGTTCCCCCTCGCTGCAGGTAGGGGATATAACCATGACCAGTCCTGTTACATGGTTTTAGTTTGTGTACCTCGTTTTGTATTACGTTAATACGATCTGTAAGTGATTCGATCATTCAATACTCATATCTATCCTAATTGTTAAGTTTACCAATTCTTATCAGGGGATCTTGGATGTGCTTACATAGACGCTTTTGTTCTCCTCTACTCCTGGCAGAAATGTGATTCGGGCAACAAACCTGACATAGTGGACTCAATCAAGTAAGTCTATTCTGAATTGCACAGTTTAGATCCTTAGATGTTAACAATTATCAGTAAATATTCCCCTCATCTGGAGAGTTTAAAGAACTATTTCATTTAAATTTACCCGATTGGGAAACTAATTTCAGATTTAAAGAGCTTATTTTAAAATTATTGTCCAGGTTGCTGATGACCAAGTTAGAGCAGTTTCCAGAGGCCTCGGCCTGTCGTCTTCTCGTTACTCGGTTATACGAATATCTCGGCGCTATTGGCCCAGCAGTAAGTAAGTTATCTTCTATTTTTGGATATAATTGAAAGTTTTAGAGTGCAATTTGAATCATTTGGTAACCGCTGCATATATTTATTGGTGCTCATTCAGGTTGAAGTTTACGAAGGGTTGGATACGAAATCTATACAGTTAGATTCACTGGCACACATACTGTATTCTAGTCTGATGCCACTTGGTGCATATAATAGAGCCGACAAACAAGCCAGACAGATGGAAGCTTTTTATAGAACCAATGAGAGAGAAGTAGGTACCAAAAACTGATCCTTTCCAGCATTTTGCCATGTTCTGCGGTTCTCAGATTTTGCTGCATTATTGTAGCTCGCAGCGACATTCTCTATTCATAACGGCGCTCCTACAAGCATTGACCTAACAAATTTCGCGCGCATGCGCGGCTCACGCGCTATCTTTACCCATCTTCTGTGCAGATTGTACTATGTTCATGGAATGTGCAATACTATGTACTGTCCAGTAACCCTTATCAGGGATTGGTTTTGTAGTACTTGTCATGAAGTAACGCTCTCTCAGGTGCTGGAGTACATCGTCAAGTCGTATCTCTGTGGAAAGTTCAACAAAGTTGCCGAGCTCTTCGACCTGCACAAGAGCCTAGTTTACAGCATGTCTAAGTCGGTCTTTTTACTTGACAAACTATGGCTGTCCTTTGTACTTTCCTCCGCAAACTCCTGGGATCAAATAGGTAATTCGAAAAATTGGAAAAGATACCTTTTTTACGCACTATAGACTATCTAGTAAATGCGGTGATTGATTCGGAAATAGTTGCTGTGTTTTGAAAGGAATAAGGCTTTTTATTCTTTTTGGCTTAAACTAGAATTAACTACTTCAGAGAGTTTACTAGAGGCAACCCGCGAAGAAATAACAAGTGTGAAGGCAGATAATCTGGTAGATAACCGTGACTACTCTGTGAACGAGGTATGCGACTCGAGACACCAAGAAATAGCGACACTTCAATCCACAACCAGCTACTCTCACGACACACTCTACGTTAGCATGCGACACTTCATGTTATCTTCACTTCTTAAGCTACAGGATGCGACTACCAGCAAAGAAAGTGAAGCTTTAGACACGCTCGTGGCTCTGTTTCAATCTGATGTCGTGGAGAAAGCTGGAAAATTACCTGTTTTAGAGGTTAGAGATGTCCTTTATTCGATCCATTTAAGTTGCTCTGGAACTTTCAAATATATAATTGAACTTAAAATCATAGCTTGCAGGAGTCAATATGAATTTATTTCCACTCGAAATTTTCTAACTAACATTTTTACAGAAAGGGTGCCTAATGTGATATAAATTTTTACAGGGGTACCCACTTTATCTCATGATGTCTCAGAGCATGAACGTTTGGAAGCTGTTTCTAGAAACGTTAACATCTACAGTTGTTGAAGCAACAAACTTGATTCGGCATTGCATTCATGGCAAACAAGCACAATTCAACCTAGAGAATGTCACATCCAAAATCTCAGGTAATTCTTGTTCACAACTTTCAGTTATCTGTGGTTTGAAAATATCATCACATTCCCTCTTCAAGCTTGGTTGTATTGTCACTTTACTAAAAGTATGTATATCAAATAAATGATAAGATGAAAACATTTCAGAGCTGATAACGCTAAGTAGGAAAGAGTTGATAGTGGACGATACGATTAACAGCTCCAAACTGCCCTTCCTCTCCTCGCTCATTCAGGTTTCCAGAAAATTCGTCTTTTTGAGTTTAATGATATAGTTAACTACCCCTTTTCTTATAATTGAACTGAAGGTGGTTTCACATTATCATTATAGGGAAAGAGTATAACTTACGGTATTTTCAGACTGCATATTTCGCTGTTCTGTGTCTAAGTTGCGGAGTTACGGGGCGAATTCAGCGCAAGAAACGCGGCATAGTGGAAGGAGTAATGAGCTCTTTGAAGAGTACTCTAGCTGACATAAAACTGCTCTGCGATGACTGTCACTCTATTGCAATGAAACACAAACTCGACAATCTCACCATCGACAAGGTATTTATACAAATATTTCCAAAATTGTACTTCCCATCCCTCGTGAACTATATCCACTCTACTACTGGCAAATAAAGATAGTGCTCCTAGTTACTCTGATACACAATCTCTCCGCAGGATGACAGTGTAGACAGTAGGATCACGAGCAGTTTGGAGTGGTCACTAGAAGAAATGTCCGGAATCATCGGGAAAATGTCTGGTTTAGTCAACTCTCTTCACTCTCGTCTGCAACCTAAGTCGTGAGATAGCTACATTAGCGAACACTGAATTGTGCTATCATGAGATATGTACCTGTTTTATGTGAAATGGAAAAGATGATACGGTTAAGCATAAGGAACCCGTCCGGCAAAATGGGTCGAATTTCCGGTGATGATGATAATGATTTTAGATAATTGAAGCCCGTATCTATTTGAATGGTAATTGAATGTTTAAGGCAAATTGGTCGTTTATTTTTTGCATATTGTACGTTTTACAAGCTTAGACTTTTATTTCGTGAATCCCGTCACAGTGGAAATTCGTACAACTATGTGTCAGAAAATGAAATCCCTAAATATATTTTTGAGTCGATTGAACTATTCAAAATTATTTCGAACTGATCTTTTCACCATTTTAGCATGTATCTGCAGTATTATCTAAACGAAGAGGGTAAGAGGGTGTACACTCTGAAGAAGTTAGCTCCCTCCGGAAAACCGACCTTGTCCGCTCACCCAGCCAGATTCAGCCCTGATGACAAATACTCTAAACACAGGATCCTGACCAAGCAGAGGTTCGGAATACTTCTCACCCAGCAGCCTGCTCCTAAATACTGAAAACCGCTCCACCAGGGCCAGGGATGTTTAATCCTTTTTATCGGGTTGTACTGTAAACAGAGTCAGGAATGGATCGCGCCGAACATTTTCGGCTGCCTAAATTTTACAACCGAAACTGACAGTATGTAACAGATGAACATGAAACGAACGTTGAATTTTACTTTTTTTCGAGCTTTGTTATTATTTGGTGGCTTTCATGATTCTCTAGTCGCGAGGATAGCATTTCAATTTTCTTACATCATTAAATATATTTAATTTATTATTTTAACTGATCTTATTCTTGTGTTTTAATTGAGGTCGGTATGAAATATCAATGTATATCTTCACCAACTACCAATCAAATTTGTCAATCGGTGCCACGTGTCTAAACAAGTATGGACCAGCTACCACTATCTATATCAAGTCTGTATGATGTGATCTTGATCAGTTCTGCTCCACAATTATCTACTGTTTACACATCAAATTTGTTAATTCGAAATTATCTTTTAATTATCCTCACTATCTTCCTCCCAATAGCTCAATATGGGTATCGATATAAACCATAAAAAGGACCGGAAGGTACACCGGAAGGAGCCAGTCTCCCAGAACGTGTATCTCCGTCTTCTGGTTAAGTTATACCGCTTCCTCTCCAGGAGAACAGCCGCCAAGTTCAACCAGGTATGTTTACAAGCCATGGCCATCTTAGTGAAGAGGGGGGTGGGGGGGGGGGGTTATTAGTTATTATTCATAGAGGTTGATTCTTTGGAAGCGGGACCCTCTAATAAAATCATTCCTTTTTCACTATTCGCTAATTCATCAAACCCTCGTTCAGGTTATCTTGAGAAGACTTTTTATGTCTCGACAAAACAGACCTGCCATCTCTCTCGCTAGAATCACCCGACAGATGAAGTGTCGAGGAAGAGAAGGTATTTCCTTACACTCATAGATGTTCGATATATGTCTATTTAAATAAGATTAGTTGTTTATTGTGCTTTCTTGATTAGGGTACTGATAGCTCCGTGCGTTGAATAACGTCCGTTAAAAAGGAATAATAATCTAACATGTTGTTAAACCTTTAGGAAAGACTGTAGTTGTGGTCGGTACCATCACTGACGATAAGAGGGTATTTGACATTCCTCAAGGTCTGAAGGTCTGTGCTCTCCGCCTCTCAGAGGGAGCTCGCTCAAGGTACGTTTGGTAACTTTCAGACCATATTATGGTGTTTCATTCCCCAGAGATTCTGTCTTAGTGATTGATACTACTAACAGCACAGATCGCTGATTTATCTATTATAAAATTACACAATGTAATCAATTTAATTTTAACATAAACCGTCTCTAGGATTGTAAAGAATGGAGGATCTATAATAACCTTCGAGCAGCTGGCCGTGGAGGCACCTCTCGGTCAGAACACCATCATCATGCAGGGTCGCAGAACCAGACGTGAAGCTAATAGGCATTTCGGAGCACCAGGTCTGCCCAAAACTCATGCCAAACCATTTGTGAGGCTTAGGAGCAGGAACCACGAGATGGCAAGAGGCAAGAGGAAGAGCAGAGGATACAAAGCATAATTTATTTCATCGTATGCCAATTTTATCGTATACAAATATTTGCGTTTCATTCGTTGTGCTTTCCTTAAATGAGTAATCATGTACAATTTAGATGCAGTGGATTTTACTGTATTCTGATTTCTGGTATTGAAATTTGTCTGGACTCTTTTACTTTGTATTCAATATCAAACAACAAATTGTCGAACAGCCCCCTAGTCACCGATTACTCCGTTACTTAACCCAATCTCAACCTAGCCATGCAGATATTCGTGAAGACCCTCACGGGTAAAACGATCACTCTAGAGGTCGAACCTTCCGACTCTATCGAGAATGTCAAGGCCAAGATCCAAGACAAAGAGGGTAAGCTTTTATTTATTCTTAAAATCCAGCTAATATTTGTTGATCTATGATGCAATGAAATTTCAAATTTATCAGCACATTCTTATCGTCTTCAAATAATTAAATCATCATATCACTTTCTTCTTTCATGGGAAGTGACCTACAAGTTCGTTGTTTGACAATATACCACCTCCCCAGGAATCCCTCCAGATCAACAGCGTCTTATCTTCGCTGGCAAACAGCTTGAGGACGGTAGAACTCTGAGTGACTACAACATCCAGAAGGAGAGCACCCTTCATCTGGTACTCAGACTTAGAGGAGGTCAGTAAGATTAGTTTCTATCTTTTCTGGTTGAAACACCCCCTTAGACTGGTCACGTGTTCTCCTTTTGGACCGAAGAGTGAATTTCATTGTTTTAATAACTAACAAATTTCATTATTTTATAAATAAACTTTTATGTCGAGGTTTAAAATTGTTATTTAACTAAGATGGATCATAACTTTTGCTATCTTTTCAGGAATCATCGAACCCTCAATGCGTGCCTTGGCTAGCAAGTACAACTGCGAAAAGATGATTTGCCGTAAGTTAATTTGGTTTTTGTCAGATTTTTAGTAGTCCCACCCTAGTCCCACTAACACCTTCTCTTTTAAAAAAGCTGATAAAATACTACTTTAAAACAAAAACAGGGGAGATGCACATTCAAATATCACTAACAAACGTATCTGTAATAATACTGGATACTTCAGGAAAGTGCTACGCTCGTCTCCACCCGAGGGCCACGAACTGCAGGAAGAGGAAATGCGGACATAACTCAGACTTGAGAGTAAAGAAGAAGCTGAAGTAAATTCTGTATTGTTTTAATTTTTATCCAAAATTATCGTTTTATTGCTCCAACATCCAAAATATAATACAAATTCACAAGCTCAGTAAACCTGTTTATGCAGCTGTCTTCTTGTAAATAATTGGTGAGATGAGAATCTGATCATTCACACTACTATTACCGAGAAATGGCTTTTCCAAAATTAGGTTTCTTGCGGGTGAAATAATCAGTAAAAACTGTAAAATTTCGGTCCTGGAAATTTCATCTTCAAAAACTGAAAATGGGACAGAGATTGGGACAATATGATTTTGCAATTTTATTCGGGATTTTGACTCCCGGTACCTCATTTTGGTTTCATACCATCATCAATTAACTGACTAATTGGTTTCTGGGCAAAAACTTTATCCAATCTGTCAAATTTGTGTTCAGAAAATTTCATATTTGAAAATGGGACAGACTTTTGAAAATACAACTTTTCGTTTTGTTAAGCTTTCTGCTGTGCGCTTCTTCCGGCCGAAATTAAACTTTCAGTACCCCAATCGTGTCATATGCCATATATAGTTGACTTACTAATTGGTTGCAGGTGAAACAATCAGTAAAAACTGTAAATTGTAAAATTTCGGTCCTGGAAATTTCATCTTCAAAAACTGAAAATGGGACAGAGATTGGGACAATATGATTTTGCAATTTTATTCGGGATTTTGACTCCCAGTACCTCAATTTGGTTACATATCATCATCAATTAACTGACTTATTGGTTTTTGGGCAAAAACTTTATCCAATCTGTCAAATTTGTGTTCAGAAAATTTCATATTTGAAAATGGGACAGACTTTTGAAAATACAACTTTTCGTTTTGTTAAGCTTTCTGCTGTGCGCTTCTTCCGGCCGAAATTAAACTTTCAGTACCCCAATCGTGTCATATGCCATCTATAGTTGACTTACTAATTGGTTGCAGGTGAAACAATCAGTAAAAACTGTAAAATTTCGGTCCTGGAAATTTCATCTTCAAAAACTGAAAATGGGACAGATTGGGACAATATGATTTTGCAATTTTATTCGGGATTTTGACTCCCAGTACCTCAATTTGGTTACATATATCATCATCAATTAACTGACTAATTGGTTTCTGGGCACAAACTTTATCCAATCTGTCAAATTTGTGTTCAGAAAATTTCATATTTGAAAAGTTGAAAATGGGACAGACTTTTGAAAATACAACTTTTCGTTTTGTAAAGCTTTCTGCTGTGCGCTTCTTCCGGCCGAAATCAAACTTTCAGAACCCCAATCGTGTCATATGCCATCTATAGTTGACTTACTAATTGGTTGCAGGTGAAACAATCAGTAAAAACTGTAAAATTTCGGTCCTGGAAATTTCATCTTCAAAAACTGAAAATGGGACAGAGATTGGGACAATATGATTTTGCAATTTTATTCGGGATTTTGACTCCCAGTACCTCGATTTGGTTACATATCATCATCAATTAACTGACTAATTGGTTTTTGGGCACAAATTTCATCCAATCTGTCAATTTTGTGTTCACAAAATTTTATATTTGAAAATGGGACAGACTTTTGAAAATACAACTTTTCGTTTTGTTAAGCTTTCTGCTGTGCGCTTCTTCCGGCCGAAATTAAACTTTCAGTACCCCAATCGTGTCATATGCCATCTATAGTTGACTTACTAATTGGTTGCAGGTGAAACAATTAGTAAAAACTGTAAAATTTCGGTCCTGGAAATTTCATCTTCAAAAACTGAAAACGGGATAGAGATTGGGACAATATGATTTTGCAATTTATTCGGGATTTTGACTCCCGGTACCTCAATTTGGTTTCATACCATCATCAATAAACTGACTAATTGGTTTCTGGGCAAAAACTTCATCCAATCTGTCAAATTTGTGTTCAGAAAATTTCATATTTGAAAATGGGACAGACTTTTGAAAATACAACTTTTCGTTTTGTTAAGCTTTCTGCTGTGCGCTTCTTCCGGCCGAAATTAAACTTTCAGTACCCCAATCGTGTCATATGCCATATATAGTTGACTTACTAATTGGTTGCAGGTGAAACAATTAGTAAAAACTGTAAAATTTCGGTCCTGGAAATTTCATCTTCAAAAACTGAAAATGGGACAGAGATTGGGACAATATGATTTTGCAATTTTATTCGGGATTTTGACTCCCGGTACCTCAATTTGGTTTCATACCTTCATCAATTAACTGACTAATTGGTTTCTGGGCAAAAACTTTATCCAATCTGTCAAATTTGTGTTCAGAAAATTTCATATTTGAAAATGGGACAGACTTTTGAAAATACAACTTTTCGTTTTGTTAAGCTTTCTGCTGTGCGCTTCTTCCGGCCGAAATTAAACTTTCAGTACCCCAATCGTGTCATATGCCATATATAGTTGACTTACTAATTGGTTGCAGGTGAAACAATTAGTAAAAACTGTAAAATTTCGGTCCTGGAAATTTCATCTTCAAAAACTGAAAATGGGACAGAGATTGGGACAATATGATTTTGCAATTTTATTCGGGATTTTGACTCCCGGTACCTCAATTTGGTTTCATACCTTCATCAATTAACTGACTAATTGGTTTCTGGGCAAAAACTTTATCCAATCTGTCAAATTTGTGTTCAGAAAATTTCATATTTGAAAATGGGACAGACTTTTGAAAATACAACTTTTCGTTTTGTTAAGCTTTCTGCTGTGCGCTTTTTCCGGCCGAAATTAAACTTTCAGTACCCCAATCGTGTCATATGCCATCTATAGTTGACTTACTAATTGGTTGCAGGTGAAACAATTAGTAAAAACTTTAAAATTTCGGTCCTGGAAATTTCATCTTCAAAAACTGAAAATGGGACAGAGATTGGGACAATATGATTTTGCAATTTTATTCGGGATTTTGACTCCCGGTACCTCAATTTGGTTTCATACCATCATCAATTAACTGACTAATTGGTTTCTGGGCAAAAACTTTATCCAATCTGTCAAATTTGTGTTCAGAAAATTTCATATTTGAAAATGGGACAGACTTTTGAAAATACAGTTTTTCGTTTTGTTAAGCTTTCTGCTGTGCGCTTCTTCCGGCCGAAATTAAACTTTCAGTACCCCAATCGTGTCATATGCCATCTATAGTTGACTTACTAATTGGTTGCAGGTGAAACAATTAGTAAAAACTGTAAAATTTCGGTCCTGGAAATTTCATCTTCAAAAACTGAAAATGGGACAGAGATTGGGACAGTATGATTTTGCAATTTTATTCGGGATTTTGACTCCCGGTACCTCAATTTCGTTTCATACCATCATCAATTAACTGACTAATTGGTTTCTGGGCAAAAACATTATCCAATCTGTCAAATTTGTGTTCAGAAAATTTCATATTTGAAAATGGGACAGACTTTTGAAAATACAACTTTTCGTTTTGTTAAGCTTTCTGCTGTGCGCTTCTTCCGGCCGAAATTAAACTTTCAGTACCCCAATCGTGTCATATGCCATATATAGTTGACTTACTAATTGGTTGCAGGTGAAACAATTAGTAAAAACTGTAAAATTTCGGTCCTGGAAATTTCATCTTCAAAAACTGAAAATGGGACAGAGATTGGGACAATATGATTTTGCAATTTTATTCGGGATTTTGACTCCCGGTACCTCAATTTGGTTTCATACCTTCATCAATTAACTGACTAATTGGTTTCTGGGCAAAAACTTTATCCAATCTGTCAAATTTGTGTTCAGAAAATTTCATATTTGAAAATGGGACAGACTTTTGAAAATACAACTTTTCGTTTTGTTAAGCTTTCTGCTGTGCGCTTCTTCCGGCCGAAATTAAACTTTCAGTACCCCAATCGTGTCATATGCCATATATAGTTGACTTACTAATTGGTTGCAGGTGAAAC